CAGCCACTGTGGCAGCCCTTCAGGAAACGCAGAATAAGGACATGAACCAGTATGGACCGGTAAGAGAGTAACCTTTATGTCTTTATACCTGCTTGATCTGGACCATTACAGGGGAATGAGCTTCCTTCTTGCTTCCCTGTTTATTAGGATGCCTACTCTGGGTTGGTTTTGTTGTGGGTTTGTTTTTGGTTTTGGGGTTTTGTTTTTTTTTTTTGAATGCATGAGCATGGTTGTAAATGCTTATGAGAAACTGCTGGAATGTGTGTATGTAGGTATGAGTCAGTCTTCCATGTTTTTCCCAATAAATCTTGCCTAAGTGTATTTCGTAGTTTGGAGATTTCCCCTTAAAAAAAACTGAAGATCACCAAATGTTACAGCTGCATCTGTCATGATATATTGTTGCTGCCTTTGCCAGCTCTGTGAACCTCTAAATTTGAGTACCCAGGGAAATGTTCCAGAATCCTGGAATAGGTTTTGTACTGCTTGGGTAATTGTTTATTTTGCCAACTACAGTTGGTTGGTTGTTTTTTTCCCTTCAAACAAGGAAACAACAGTAGACAAGAGATTTGCTTTTTAGTAATGTTGTCTATGAGAACAGTCATGCAAGACATGCATTTCTGGTGATCCATGGCCTCCAGCATGTCATGACTTCATGTAATAATTTTTTCTTAAAATAAACAAGGTTTGGTCAATTCAGGCTTTTTCATCCTTAGCTTTTTTACCTCTCTGAGATTTGAGGTATATGGGGCCATATGCTAGGTGATGTAAAGAAGCACAGTGTCTTAGAAATTGTAGTGTTGTGCTGTATTCACACAGCCAACTTCCTAACCCGTTACCTTACAGTAACAGACTAGCCAATTTAAACAATTGCTCACCATAGACTTACATCTGTCTTTCTCTCTTATGCCTTCTACAATTACTGTTGAATTTTTATGATAAATAACATCACCACCCATCAAATGTTGGAGAGCATTGAAGGAAAATGCAACATAAATCCTTCCCTTCTTCCTTCACCCAAAAGCATATTCAGCTCCCTCCTCCCATTTTAAATGCATGTCGCATTTTATTCTTTTTTTTTTTCTTCTTCTTCTGTTGAAGGTTTGTTCCTCTTTCCAGATGGGTCCAAGTCAGGCTTACAACAACCAGTTTATGAACCAGCCTGGTCCTCGTGGCCCTGCTTCTATGCCAGGCAACATGAACCCAGCAAGCATGGGAGCAGAGCATGAGTGGGCCACCCATGGGCATGAACCAGCCTCGGCCTCCTGGAATGAGTCCGTTCAGCACCCATGGCCAGAGGATGCCTCAGCAAGCCTACCCAGGCCCACGCCCTCAGTCTTTGCCTATACAGGGCATAAAGAGACCGTACCCAGGAGAGGTAATAAAATAAACTATATTTTGCGTACAGTATTATTTTGACTGAAAGTTGTAGCATGCTAGTAATGTATGGTGTGCATCCCTGTATGATATGTACATGTTTGCTCCAGCCTTGGTAGGAATACTGCCATTAAACTATGAGTGGCAGCAACATTCCTTTTTTAGCTTCTAAAGTATTCAGATTGACACTTGCTTGCTATGTTAGTCAAGATGACAGTCACCAAAACCAAGAAAGGCCCAAAACTAGCTGAGCCCTCAAAATGTCACTTTGAGATTTTCATGCTAGATGGTGAATTCAGAGACCTTAAGCAGACTTCCTTCACAGGAGTGGATTTATTTAACGTGACAACTTAAAAGATATGTTGAAAGTGAAATACTTTATTTGAGCCCAGTATAAATGTGATCCGCATTTTCTTGAATGATTTTATTGTTCTAAAGAAATACAGGGCCTACATTGTGTAAACACCAATAGTAATAACATTTATTTTAAAGACCAATTGCTTTCCAGACTTCTTGAGGCTTGATTTTCATAGTCACTGAGATGAATATAAATCAAGTTGAACTCAAATCCCTCTGTGTCAGCACTTATCTAGTGTAAGCTTATTTGGAGTTTGGTGTTTCCAAGTTCCCATGCTGTTACATGAGATCTGAGTGGCTTTGTAGACAAAATTACATTGCCATTGACTTGTGTTATGACCTTGTGCAAAACACCTAGGGTCAAAATTTTAAAGAAACTTAGACAACCAAAGATGTAGATAGACAAGCTTTTGGATTTTAAAAAGCACCAATGCATTTTACTATTTAAATTGATGAGAATCAGGCAGGAGATGCTTTTTGAGAATTTCGGCAGCTCTCTCTCAGCATCTAAATGTCTTCACAAATCTAGCCACCAGTCACTAGCTTCAGTGATAATTTCCTGGTAAAATTCTCTAGTAAACTGAGAGTACAACAGCTGTAACTGCAGGTGTAGAGCTTTGAATATTATGATATTGACCTGACTATAATAATGGTAGTAAGAGTTTATAGAAGACTTACAGCGAAGAGTACTGTGGCATGCAGAAAATACAGAAAACATTTGTTGTTGAGCTACATTTCTTTCATAATCTGGAAAGTATTTTTTTTTCTGATAACAAAAAATCAAATTAAAAAGTTATGTGCTTTTGCAGGAGTTGCTTCTTTGGGAAGACTTTTCACTCTATAAATACTGCCACTTACTCTACAATTAAGAAAACACAGAATGTGGCTTGGTCAGATAATTTTTATCTTCAGATTTCATGTTTTAAGGAAGACTGTAAATCCCTTTTTGCTGCTTCAGAAGCAGGTTTTTCGTTGTGAGTATAATCGTGTTCCCAAGAAGTCGATACTGAACAGTGCCTTAAATGTTACATGCTTGCTGGGCTGGTATGCTGCAGATCCCGTAGATGGTATTTGTTTGTTGGTTTTTCAAAGTTTCATTTCTGGAAACTTATTATGAATCAGTTAATTTTTCAAATTGACATTTTATTACTGTTAAAGTGACAGTTTTCATTACTTCAATGCCAAAATTGCAGCAAAGTACTGGGTAGCACTAGCAGCGTGTTTATGACTAGTAATAGCTTCTATGTAGATGTTAGGGTATTGCTAAACAGTCTAGCACAGGGACAGCATCACAGTTTTGTTGAGAAGACAGATGTGGACAACAAAGCTTCTATTCTCTGCCCATTCCAGGATTATTTTTTTTTATATTACTTTTTTCTTTTGTGCTTTCATTCTCCATCTGGAAAAGAAGCCTCAGGGATGGGGCTGGTAGGACTTGCAAAAATGCAGAGATTTCATGAACATTGCATCTGGTTGTAATTCTGATTTCTTCAAACATGGTGTCCCTTGACAGCGCTACAAGGCTGATTGTATGTGTGTGTTAAGGTACATGGTTATTCTTATCCCATTTTGGTTTGTGGGAATTTTAGGCTTTTGAGTGAGTATTCACCTCCAGCCATGAGGGCCCTGGTTTAGGCATGAGTGTCACTAAGTTGGGGAGTATTCACCCGAAGGGGGTGGTTTTGTTTGTTTTGATTCCGCTATTGAATGTATGCTAATAATCAATTCAGGACAGCTGCTTGCATTAAATAAATCTTTGTGTTCTTTCACCTCTGTCATGAAATAGCCAAATTATGGAAACCAGCAGTATGGACCAAATAGCCAGTTTCCAAACCAGCCTGGTCAGTATCCCACTCCCAACCCTCCAAGACCCCTTACATCTCCCAGCTATCCGGGACAGAGGATGCCGAGCCAGCAAAACACAGGGCAGTACCCTCCTCCAACAGTCAACATGGGACAGTATTACAAGGTAAGAACTTCTAGAATATCTTATTGTGTTCTGGTAGACATTTATGAATGAAGTCATAATAATAACTTAATAGATACTGCTTTCAGGTAATTAAAGAGAGAAAAAAGCAGTGTTTTTAGTAATGTTTTGAATATCTCAGAATCAAGTCAATCAGCCAGGTTGCATTGTAACTTCAGAGCAGTTCATAAAGAAAATTTAATGTTACTGCAGCTCATTAGATGTTTTTACAAGAAAATCTTCGTTTCATTTTAAATATAGCATGTAAAAAGAAGTACCTAATGGGATTCAGGTGTAATATTTTCACCTATTCATGGCACCTGGCAAGAATACAACTTTGGAAATCTGTAATAAACAAGTTCCACATTGCAGTGTCCCAATTTCAGACATACAGTGGTCATTGTTGGATTAAACCAGCTGAAATTTATAAGCTGTTACAGCTGTAAAATTTGTCTTCAAACTGAAGTTTGTGTGACTTTCTCCGACTCCTCCCTCCCCTTTTCTCCTCTTTTTCCTGCTGTGCTGCTTGTTTTGGGCAGGGACTAGAATTGTTAAAATGCCTAAAACCTGTTTTATGGATACATCTTGAGCACTCTAGTATAAGCCAAACTGAGTTTGTACTGAGAGCCTGCTGAAGTTTAGTGTCTTTGAAGTGTGCACAAAAGTGATCTTTTTCATGCAGGTACTCCAGTGGGTATAAAAATGGGGAGGACCATTGACGGTCTGACCTGCTCTTAAACCATTAGCTGTTGAAGTCTCTGGGCTACATTCTGATTTTGAATGCAGACTGGAAGAATCTAACATGCACATCGGTCTTGAACTGGAATTGTTCTGATGTGATTCACACAGAAAACACCATTGAAAAAAAGAGGGAAAAAAACTCCTTTACTGTAGAGCATCTGTTCTACGTGCAGCCAGGCTGTCCACTGTGGTACTCACATGAATGCCTGTTGCACCGTGGCAGCTTTTGCAGTACACTCCCACGTTGGAGAAGAGAGATCCTCAACTACTGTAGTTCCAGTGCAGTCACTTACACTAAAATAACAGCAGATGATCTCTGTGAGATTTTTAAGTGACAGATTTTTTAACGACATTTTACATGTGTTTATTTTAAATGGGGTTTAAGTTTTTTGTTTGCAGGATAGTTCTAACAGGGAATCTGTGGTCTTTCCAATGCATCCCCTATTTTGTGTTTAAATATCAACTGTTCTGGAAACAATTAAAAATAAGAGACCTTGTCAAGAAGAGAGGTGATTTTGGCTAGAGGAGAAAATCTAGCTTGTCACAGACAGGACCTGAACCTTTGGGTTGTAGTGATTGAGAAGATCGTAACTAACATATTAAAGAAAAAAGCAAAGATGGCTGGAAATACAAACACTTAAGATTTCAGAATGCAGCTCTCTTACGTGCTTGAGAGTATCCTAGGCTAGCAGTGCAGTGTTTAGATACAGAATCAGATTTGAAGTGCTGAGACTTTAGCTATCTGTAAAGATTTTAATCTTCTGACACTTTTGTGTATGTGCTTGTGATACATGAGCTATTACAAGAGAGTGCCATGCAATTGCAGTTTTGTTCAATGTCAGCTTCCTTCACATCATCATTATTGTTTTTTTCTGTTAACTGCAACCATCCCCTTAATTACAAGAAGCAAATACAATGGTGTTTTAATATTATAGCTGCTATTTATACTTAACTTTCCTTTTCCTCTTAGTTTGTCTTCTTCAGCAGAAACAATCAAATTGTAGGTACACAGAATAAAAGACATCCCCTGGCCCCCAGAGCTTTCATTCTGAGTAGATGAGTTGGACAGGGGTGGAAGAAAGGATAGATGGAAGTAAAAGGGACACAGACATTCTAATTGTGTGTCTTTGGATTTTGTTTTTCATGTAGGCTTTTCTGCACTGGGGCTATTCTGGGAGGAAGCCAAAGAGATACAAAGGGCTGGGTGGGTTAGGGTGGTTTGGAAAAACTGAAGGGAATGACTGGTTGGTTTTGGAAAGAGACTGTTCAGAGAAACATGATAAGCCTCTTGGCAGCCTTGCTTGTATCTGGTCATTGCCTGAATTAAGCTGGCTGGTCTGCTGGTTTCAGTTCCTGCTTTGCTCTCCTAGTCCACCCTGTCTCAGAAGGCCTCATGGGATGTCCTGTGGTTTCTTGTCCTTCTGGAGGCAGAAGGGCCTCCCTACCTTTTTTGTAGTCTTTGGTGTTTAACAGCAGTACAGTTTACAAGGCTATTATTCTTATTTTCAGACTGCAATAACAAAGTGATGTTATTTATTTTCTAGCCATCAAGGCCTGTACCTGTGGCAAATTACCCTCATTCACCTGTTCCAGGAAACCCCACGCCACCTATGACTCCAGGGAGCAATATTCCTCCATACCTGTCACCTAACCAGGACGTCAAACCACCATTCCCACCTGACATTAAACCAAGTATCAATGCTTTACCACCACCTCCAAGTGAGTAGCAAACAGAACGCGCCCACAGTCATTTATTGTACCTCTGTTCTCTGTCATATACATTTCAGAGTCTGAAAGCTCTCTCTGATTGCTGCTCTGGGAGAGGTTTGGGTTGCTAAGTTGTGATAGGTGGCAAGCACGGTGCAGGCTCTCTAGAGTCAGTGGACAGGAAAGAGAAAGATTGCTATCCTTTCCTAAAATAGTGTGTCAGGAAGGTTCTTCCGGGTTGAACTTGTAAGGATTTTACTCCTGAACTATTCACTTGATATGCTTCCTGAGGATAAAGCACTTGATTTTGGTTTGCGTTATGTGTGCTCAGTACACTTGCTTATTGTATGAACTTTCATTGTGGTCTGTTTTGTTCAAGGGCAAAGTCATTAATTGAACATCACTGCAGAATAGCGTAAAATGTGAATATTTATGGCGGTGTCTCTGTTGTGATCCATACAGGCTTCTTAAGAATATTCAGTTGTGTGCCAAAAATTTATATATGTTCCTTTAAAAACCACTCAACATCACAGCTACATTTGTCTGGGAACAGGGCAGGAATAGCAAGATCTCTCTGGCTGTATACTAGCACAAGATGTTTGAGCTTTTGAAGTGACTGATGAACCATAGGAGATACTGTTTGCTAAGGAATTGGGAGAAACTATATATTTTCTGTAAAATAACTGCTGCTGCGTTAGCATTTTGCAACTGGTGTTTGTAGTTCAGGATGGCTGAAAAATGAAGTAGAAGAAGGTGGCCTGCAGGATTATTTGGGCAAGAACACAGCATTTAAAGACATTTGGGCTGTATAGATTAGCTGTAAGTTACCATCAAACCTATTTTATGAGATCAAGTGATTCCCTCTGGAGGGGAACAGAGGGC